CGAGCTCAGGAACCATGTCCAGACCACCTGCGGAGGAGGACCAATTGGGCGTCTTGCCCAAGTCCTTCAGCAACTCTCGTGGACCTGGCCCGACTTCGGTACCTTCTGTGACGATTGGGGAACCCGTATTGGCTGGGCGCACGAGCCCCAAGGAACTGTGCTGCACGTGCTGCGAGCCTCACAAGGACGGGCCATCCTAAGAAAAATCAAACCCTCGCGCAATGACCTGAGGCACCTATCTTGAGTCAAGCAAGGCATAGACATGTTCGACAGTACGTGGCTGGCCCGCATCAAGAGACCCCAAAAAATCAACACCTGGCAACGAAGCCTCCCCTACAACTACATCGCGGGTGGCGATCATACCCAGCAGCGCTGCGTACGCGCCAACATACCAGCCGACCCAAGCCCATTCTGCAGGTACTGCGACACTGACGAGGAGACGCAAGAGCACACCATCTGGAGGTGCCCGTATTGGGAATCCGAAAGACGTCCCCTCACCACGATGATCTCTGACGAGCAATGGGAGATTTTTCCACCACAAACGCGACACTGTGGGCTCATCGACGAATCCACCGACCTCCTGGGCCTCCAAGCCGAGCTATCCAGGGACCGGCTCCCCCAACCCATCCCCCGACCGCCGCCAGAAGGCCCCGACGGCGACACCTACACCACCTACATGGACCCCGACGGCAGCCAGTGGGCTTTTGCCGGAACCGACGGAGCGCGCTCGCACCAAACCATACCACTGCTTGCGCGCGCTGCCTATGACGTCTACTGCGGCAGTGGCCACCGCCTTAATCACGCAGCACGTTTCCACGGCCTTACCCAGAATGCACAGCGAGCAGGGACCCTAGCCATTCTCCACCTAACCGCCATTGCCGAACGCCCCGTCCACGTATTCGTCGACAACCAAGCCGTCGCAGATGGCTTCCAGCGGATCTTAAACGGCCTTACCCCGCCGCCAGACGGGCCACAGGGCGATCTCTCGATTCGCACAAAACGCTGTGTCCTCGCTAAGCTGGGCTTCTTCCGAATGTAAAAAATCACGAGGCATCTTAGTGACGAGGGCGTCAGCGAAAACCGCACCAGCGTCATAGCGGAAGAGTTCGACCGTCAAGCGGATCATCTCGCCACGGACGCGATCGCCCTCCACTAGTTCCTGCCCCACTTGATTGAAGAGGCGAAACAGCGACACCGCTTTGCGGTGGTGCTCCACAGCGTTGCGGTCGCCATCTACGACAAACGACACCGCGCGCTTCCACAGCCCCACAGACGAGCAGGTTTCACGAACGCTCGCCTGAGTAAACTCGAACCGAACCCTATGCTTACGGCGGCCCCCCCCACGACCAACCAAGGATTCCTAGGGACCTTGGCGACCTGTTGGAGGAGGCTCACCGCGCCTGGGAAACCCGAACGACGACGAGGGCCCCTTTGGCTTCGGGTGAGGTATGGATGATCTTGAAACCTTGCCCATACAACCATCACCGATGCAATACCAACGACGGTGGCCCTGAGGCACTAGGGCAGTGACACCGACCACAATCGTGCCTACTGGGGACACCGAGGCCGCGTCCCATGACGACGGGGACGATCGCGCGCCAGGCCAAGGGAGCGACCCTGGGGCACCGACCACAGTCGCGCCCATCGGGGAACTTGATCCGCCACCTGATCACTGCAACGCCGACATTACAGCGACTAGGGTGAAACCCTCCTCCGCCACCACCTACCGATATGTCGAGCGCCAACTACGCTTTCCCAAAGCACGCAGGCCTGCGCCAACAAACCAGGCACACTGACACAAGAGGTAGGGCCGACCACTACTTCTTCTACAAGCGCAACCGAGCCGACTCAGCGACCAGACAGGCCACGAGTCCCCCCAGTGACGTCTAAGGTTCGGATCAAGCTCGAGCCTGGGACGACACAGCCAAAGGTCGAACTAACTGCCACCCTAATTACCGAAAGGCGCGGCCCAAACATGCGCCGACACAAAGCGGACACTCAGGCCAGCTCCGCGCAGAGCAAGCATCTACCCATCTGGCCCAGGGCGTGACAAGGGCACCAACCCCCCTGTGCCAACCGCCCGCGCCCACAGGCCGGGCTCGGCACCGAGCTCCGTCAACGACCCCTCACCCACACCCGAGCACCCACCCGACTCAGCCACATCTTCCACCGCTGGGACAGGGCCCCATCGCGCCACTGCAGACAGCGCCCTTGACTCCCAACCACCCCGCGTCGGGGTGGACAATGCACCCTCGTCCGACCTGCTGGACCCTACGGCGCCACCCCACGGCGGCCCTGCGGCGGAACTCGTGCCCACACGAGGCACCGACCGCCGCGCCGACCTTGCCATTCACTTCGCCAACCACGACCGGCACGGGCCGACCACGCCACGCTCCGAACGCCGCCCACGGCCGCACCGCCGAACTGCAGGCGTCTGATGACCGCCTGTGCCACCAGTTCGCCTCCCTTACCCACCAAGTCCGCACCCCTAACTTCCCAGCCAGGGCTGCTCGTTCAGCGCCTCCACCGCGCCCGCGACGCCTTCGCGTCTCTCCCTCTCTCTCTCTCTCTCTCTCTCTCTCTCTCTCCCTGCGCTGCACGACCTTCTGAGGGCCGAGCATGTCAGCACAGGGCCCCCTACCTAGCCCTTTGGCCCTCCCCCGCGCCAGCCCGCCGCTTCCCCGCGCGGCCACGCGTCATGGGTGCCTGGGTGCGGGGGACGGGGGACGCCCCGTTGCCCGCAAACTGCTCAGCGGCCTAGCCCGTGTCCCCTGGCCGCCATCCAGGGCTTTGCCGACCTGGGCCCTTTCCGCCGCGGGGCGCCGAGAGACGTGGCGAATCGCCTGCTCGGCACCCCGCCTTTTGCCTTAGTCGCTTTGCGCCGGGGGGGGGTTGTTTCATCGTCCCCCGTACCCCAAGGTGGGCACCACCGCTAAGCGTGTGACGGCGGCCTTGGCTACCGCAGTCGCCGGCTGTCGACGGGACGCCCGTCTGCTTGTCCGATCTCTCACGCTCTCTCCCTTTTTCTCTCTCCTCTCTCTCTCTCTCGTTCTCTGTGTGTGTGTCTCTCTCTCTCTCTCTCTCGCTCCCCTCCTCTCTCACTCTCACTCTCAGTCTCCCCCTTCCTCTCTCTCAAATGAATTGAGGCTGCATCCTGCTCATCGTCATCCTGGCCCTGCTGCGCTCTTCTACTGCTGCTGATCCTCATCATCCTCCTTCTCCCTCTCGTCCTTCTCACCTTCCTCCTCCTTTTCTTCGTCCATCACGCACCTCCCTTACCCCCGCCCACCTCCCCACACCGTCCGTTCTTCCTCCTCCCTGCTGCCTTCCTGCCTTCCGCCCCATGTTTCCTCCCGTCTCCATCCCGCCTCCCCCCGTCCCCCTCGTCCACCATCTGTCCCCCCTCATCTCGTCATTCATCTGTCGTCCCTCCTCCGCCGCCCTGTCCCCTCATCAATTCACAGTCCACCCTCTCTGCCTTTCCTCGCCCACCGTTGCCCTTTTCTTTCTGACGTGTCCCCCCTTCTTCCAACCTCCCTCCTCCATCCTCTCGCATCCCCCTTCCGTCGCCCCTCCTCCCTCCACCATCCACCCTCCACGCTCCCTCGCTACCTCCCCTCCTGCCCCACCTTCGTCTCGTTTACTTTGCTCCCCCTGGCACATTGTCCCTTGCACGCTGGCAAGCTCTTCATCGCTTGCCACGCGTCCGCACCGACGGTGGGTGCTGCGTGGCCTCCTCGGCGCACGAAGTGACACTGCAAACTAGACAGCAAGACACTGTCTCACAAAAACTTGCTGGGGAAATGGGGATAGAGAGATGGGGGGACCGAGCGAGCGCGAGAACGTGGACGAGTAAGAGAGAGAGGGGGGGAGGGGAAGAGAGTGAGGGGGGGGATAACGAGGGAGAGAGAGAGAGAGAGAGAGCGAGCGAGTGTGAGAGAAAGAGAGAGAGAGAGAGAGACAGAGAGAGTCGGAATGCCTGGCCAGGCTGGGCCTGCGACGCACCATGCGACCACACTGGACGGGCCCACGCCCCAGAGGACGGAACGCGGAGGGGGAATGCCTCAAGAGCTGCGGGGTGCCCCCAGCCTGTCATGGACCAGGACGCCTGAGCGATTGGGAAAAGGTGTGTATGTGTAGATGTTCGTGTGTATATTTGTATACTGCATTTGTATACCGATGAATATGAAGGTATATATATATATATATATATATATGTGTGGGGTCGCCGATGTGGAATGCCTGAAGAGCTGCGGAGTGTCCCCGAGCCTGTCACGGACCAGGACCCGTCGTGGGGGGGGGGGGTGCAGCCATCCCCGCCCACCTCCTCGGAGGGGGGGGGGCGAAAACGTGGACACGGGAGGCAGGGCGCGAGGCCCAGGCCCCCCTCGGGCCGTGCACAAAAATCACGACGGGGGGGGGGAGGGAGGAGGAGGAGGAGGAGGAGGAGGGGGAGGAGGAGGGGGAGAGGAGGAGGAGGAGGAGGAGGAGTGAGGAGTAGGAGGAGGAGGAGGAGGAGGAGGAGGAAGAAGAGGAGGAGGAGGGAGGGGGAGGAGGACGAAGGAGGAGGAGGCGGAGGAGGGAGGACGGAGGAGGAGAGGGTAGGAGGAGGAGGAGGAGGAGGAGGAGGAGGGAGGGAGAAAGGAGGAGGAGAGGAGGGGGAGAAGGAGGAGGAGAAGATGGAGGAGGGGAGGAAGGAGGAGGAGGAGGGTGGGGAGAGGAAGGAGGGGAGGAGGAGGAGGAGGAGGAGGAGGAGGGAGGAGGGAGGAGGATAGAGGAGGGGTAGAGGAGGGGAGGAGGAGGGAGGACAAATGAGGAGGAGGAGAGGAGGAGGAGGAGAGGAGGAGGAGGAGGAGACAATGGGTAGGAGGAGGAGGAGAGAGAGAGAGGAGAGAGAGGAGGAGGAGGATGAGGAGGAGGAGGAGGAGGAGGAGGAGAGGAGGAGGAGAAGGAAGAGAGGAATGAGAGGCGGAGGAGGAGGAGGAGGAGGAGGAGGACAGGAGGATAGGAGGAAGGAGGAGAGGAGGATTAGGAGGAGGAGACGATTAGGAAAAGAGTCGCCGATGGAGCAGCACTGCTCAGTGCGAGAGCGCGCGGGGGCGGCCGCGGGCAGGCACTTCGAGGTCGTCGTCGTCGTCGTCGTCGCTGGTCTGCACCGCGCCCGCCTGCCCTTGGAAGCGGGCGAAGCTGCCGTGCATCAGCGCGGCCGCCTGAGTGGGAAGAGAAAGAGAAAGAAACACATAAGCAGAAACTTTTGGCGCTCCGCGCGGGTTTCTCGGATCCGAGCTGGGCCCCCCTGGCGGCGCCTCCGGCGCCACCCCTGGCGCGCTCCGCGCGCCAGGAAGGGGGGTCTGGCACGGATCCAAGAAATCCGCGCGGAGCGCCAAAAATTTATGTTTACGCGGTTCTTTCTGCACGAGTGGGTCGAACTGCATCAAGAGCACCGTGAAATCGCTCACGCGCTCACGCGTGAGCCAACAGTGTGAAACTTACTGCATGCGCAGACGCGTGCGAATCTGAAACTGCACGCGCGGGTGTGCATCGCTTACACGCACGCACAAACACCCGCACAACCGCAAAATGGAACAATATTGGGGCAAAAGGTGAAGACGACCTGCGTGTGACAACATGCCTTCTGAAGGCTCGACTCGCCACCATCGGCGAAACGCCTGTACTTCGCTTTTAGATCTGTTGTGCTGGTGGACTGGTTGCTACAAGAGCTCGTGCACTGTAGCTAGACAAGTTCAAACCCGACTGCCAACGATCGCCGAATAGTCGCTTAGCATGTTGTAGACTTGCCGCCTGGATAATCTCGCCGCAGCAGGCGTGGGCCTCAGAACCCAAAACACATGGACGCTTGGGGGAGGTCAGGCGGCCGCAAGCTAAGATATGAGAGCTTGGCCAACGAAGACAGTCCATTGGCGACGTATGCGGGTCTTCCCAAAATAGCTGCGCGCCTCCGATAGAAGGGCAGCCTGTGGAATCCTGACATGTCGACTCGTGCCAGGAGTGAGCAATCTTGGGACGCGGGCGTCTTGGACATCTCGGGATGTTCCACGTGGGCCGTATTGGTCAAACGCATGCGCGGGGAACACGAGGGTTCAGGCCCCCTCGGCAGGGGCTGTAGTCTCTTATGCCGTTCGCCAGCGACCTCTCCACCATGTTCCTCCCATCGTGCTCTTTCATCTGCTGTTGGGCTGCCTCATCCTCCTCATGCTCAACTTCCTCGTCCTTCTCATGTTCCCGCTGCAACCCCTTCCCCCCGAGCCCCTCATGCTCCGCCGCTTCCTCTCATGATGGTGATCTTCCTACTCCCGGGCCCTCCTCCGTATGAATAATTCCTCGTCGTCGCACCACCAGGCGTGTTGGCGCGCTGGGCGTTTCGCCAGGTCCTTCCTCACCAGTAGGACTTTGAGGCTTGGAACATCCAACAACCACACGGATGCATGGCGGGCGGCTTTCAAACAGCGGCCATCGCTGTAGTACAGCTCCCACTCGTCGTACGAGTCGCACATACACTCGTCTCAACGACTCTGTCAATTGAGTTGATGGAGGGGCTATTCGTCTTCAAATTTCGGCACTCGTCTCAATGTCGTGCACATCCGCATTCAACGCGCCGAACATGTACACGGATGGTACACTTTGCGCTTTCAACATGTCACTTTCGTCTCAGCGCTGCGCACGCTCGTGTTACCACCAGCTGGGCGTTACATGGCTCCCATTTGGGACATCACCGAACTGGATGACAAGAAGCTCAAGAAGCGCAAGAACTGCACGGAAGGGGGGCGGCTCCTTTTCAAAATGGGGCTTCGCTTGAACCCCCACACACACATTTTCCTGACCAGAAGTGATAAGTTGTGGACAGCCACACTTACCGAAACAAGCTTGTGCCCAAAACTTGCAGTGTTGAACATCGAGGGCCCAAGGCTCTCACTTGACATCTCCCTCGAGCTTCAAGATATAAACTCTTGGAAAGTCTCGAAGCTAGAAGAATGGCGGGCGGTTCCATGTCAAAACGGAGCTCTCGCTTGAATAACATGTCCCCACGGGGCGTTCGCCACAACAATGACACACCCCCGCACAAACGAAATGGGCGACCCCAATCCAACTCTCACCAGTCGCATGCACTGTCCGTCCGCCACCGCTGTGCAGCCCACGCGGGCTCAGTGTCTTCAGCATGCGACGACGGACTACTTGCACTGCGCGGCTTCCTCGTGCACACGGGCGGCCGCGGTACCCCAGGTGAGGGGCGGGCCATAGTGAGCGTACCGTACAGGAAAGACTCGCCACCCACACACGCGACACAGATCAAGACGACCCAGCAGAAGCCCCAGCCGACGAATGGCCGATTCAGTTGGCCTGAGGGCAAGGGTTCCTGGCGGAAACGGGTCCTGCTGGACCTCCGGTGCTCTCCGGGTTCGCCTCTTCACCCTGAGCTGTTTTTGACTGCCCCAGGGCCCGGGAAGAGCCCGAGGAGCCCTAGCACTGTGAAAAGCCTGACAGGCCCTGGGAGGGCCCCTTTGTCGATCCTCCCTCCGCCCCGAAATGATGCGCGCCCAAGCCCATCCAGGGTGCGCTCTGGCCAGAAGCTTGAGGCGAGTCCGGCCGTGGCGACGAGGAAGCCCCAGGAAGCTCCAAAGGAGCCAAAACT